AGTGACATTGACTGCGCTCTTCCAATTGTGCTGTTATTCTCACTTAAGATGAAGGCTTACAGAACAAAATAGTTTCTCATTTAACAGTTACTACAAATACAACTATTCATTTTTATTTTGAACTTTATTTGAACTTTGGGAATTTATTAAACTGTGTACAATAACTTTTATGTAGTGTAAGGGCTGAGCCTTAGATTGTGCTTCAGGGTTATTTTATACAGATTTTCAAACCATTAAAACAAACTTAAGCATCTTGATTTTGAGCCATAATGCTACTTTCTGCTTTTTGTTCAAAGAATGCAAATTTCTGTTACTTTCAGTCATACACTGTTCGTTCTTGAAGTGAATTAAGGTATAGTCATAAATTCAAAAAAATTTAGTACCTTTTTTCTTTAAGTTACATTGTTAGCAAAATAAATTACTCAATAAGAAAAGTTATTCCTTATACTTTTTTTTAATGTTTTATTGTGTTTTAAGTGAAAGTTTACACAGCAAATTAGGTTCCCATTAACCCAAAACCAAACCCACTGCCGTCAAGTCAGTTCCAACTCATAGCAACCCCATAGAGTTTCCAAGACTGTAAATCTTTACAGAAGCAAACTGCCACATCTTTCTCCCACGGAGCTGCTGGTGGTTTCAAACCGCTGACCTTCTGGTTAGCAGTCGATCACTTTACCCACTGTGCCACCAGGGTTCCTAGGTTCCCATTAAGTGTCATTATAAACTCATGGATTTAAATATGTTAGATGTGTTTCAGTTCATCGCCATAATTATCCTTCTTGATGCTCAAATTATGCTATCTTTGCCCAGTGGAAGCCTCTGTGAATTGGTAGTACCCTGGAAGTCTTTCATAGTTTCCTTATTTTCTCGTAGGATAAGATGTTCTAGGCTCTCTTGTACACTTCTTACCATTGGCCTGAAATCTACCATTTCTGTAGGAGCCCTAGTTTATTTTAGTGAGAAGTGGTATTTAGGCCACAGTCTGGGCTCTAGGGTTGATCATTGCTGTGGTTACTCATTGTTTCTAGACCTTTTAGGTGAACAGAGAGGAATAAGGTTTTTGTTTTGTTTTTAAAGATAAACTATACTTGTTCATACTGATAACTCCAATTAAAATTTAGGACTACAGGCAGTCCCTGGGTTATGAACGAGATCCTTTCCTAACTGTGTCTTTAAGTCGAATTTGTAGGTAAGTTGGAACAGGTGCATACGGTTCTTTTTTAGCTTTACTTTAGCACAAAAAAAGGGTAAAAGCCTTTTCAATGATTTAAAAGCTGTGTATGCAGCAAGTGAAGGTGATTGGGATAAAAAATTTGTCGGAGTAGGAGTTGGTTCAGTCGTTTCAAAGTGAGAGCAAATTTACATAACATTAAAGAACAGGTATGAGTTGTCCGTAAGTCAGAAGGTCGCTGGTAACCTGGGGACTGCCTGTACAGGGGTTTTTATTTAACCTCCACCATCTCATACCTGCATCTCCTTTCCTGCCTGCTGAAAATCCCACGTCTAAATGCCACCAGTATAATTCCTCATTTTACTTTATTCCACAATACATACATAGGGTAGTCTCAGAATAATACAAATACCACCAATAATATGATTAATGAAAATGTTTCAAGACTTTTTTTGTGTATTCTGTTTGTCCTTGTCTTAGTCATCTAGTGCTGCTATAACAGAAATACCACAGGCGAATGGTTTTAACAAACAGAAGTTTATTCTTTCACAGTCTAGTAGGCTACAAGTCCAAATTCAGGGTGTCATCTCCAAGGGAAGGCTTTCTTTCTGTGTCAGCTCTAGAGGAAGATGCTTGTCATCAATCTTCACCTGGTCGAGTTGCTTCTCAGTGCGGGTACTCCGAGTCCAAAGGACACGCTCTGCTCCTGGCTCTTGTTTCTTGGTGGCATGAGGTCCCCCTGTCTCTCTGCTTACTTCTCTCTTTTATATCTCAAAAGAGATTGGCTCAAGACACAGTCCAGTCTTATAGACTGAGCCCTGCCTCATTAACATAACTGCTGCTAATTACATCTCATCAGCATCATAGAGATAGGATGTATAATACCTAGGAAAATCACATCACATGACAACATGGTGGACAGTCACACAATATGGGGAATCATGCCCTAGCCAAATTGATACACAAATTTTGGGGGGACACAATTCAGTCCATGACAGTCCTTAAGATACATTCTATTAGAAACGTATGGCCAAGTTACTGTATTTTAAAAGTCACTCAGATTAATTATTTTCTGTGTGGTTATGCCACCAGCTCAGTACCCAGGTTTGTTTCATTAAAAAGTAGAAAAAGTGTGTACATGGTACCAAAACCAAAAACCCTTTGCCATCAGGTCAATTTCAACTCACAGCGAACCTACAGGACAGAGTAGAACTGCCACATAGCGTTTCCAAGGAGCAGGGTGGATTCAGATTACTGACCTTTTGGTTAGCAGCCAGGCTCTTAACCACTGCACCACCAGGGCTCTGTACATGGTACCAGAAGCTACAAAACAAGATATTTTCAGTTAAGTCTGGCTTCTATCCTTGTCTCCTTCACCCTGTTAGCTCTCTATCCCTATAGGTAACCATTTGCTTAAAATTTTATAATTTCCATTATAAAAAATAAAAGCAAATACATACATATGTATATTATATATATAGTAATACACTCCCCCCCCCTTAGGTAAATGGTACTATGCCAGATAGGTAGATAAAGAGACAGACTGACCAACCACCCTTTCTCTACGTTGCATTTTTCACTTAACTATATATCCTGGAAATCACTAATAATAGTATATAGTGATATTCCTTGTTTGATTTCTTAGCTGCATAGTACTGCATTGTGTAACTGTACCATAGTGTATTCCCCATCGATGGCCATTTGTGTGTTTACAATTATGCTAGCATACTTAGTGCTACAATGAATAGCCTTGTACATTCTCTTTTCATATTTTTGTCTGTGCATCTTTGAGATAGATTCCTAGAAGTAGTATTGCAGAGTAAGAACTATCATTTTAAATATTTCCTATTTGAGGGTCACTAACTTTTTTTTTTTTTTTTAATATGAGTAGTTGTATTTATTCCAAAGCCATTGGAAACTGGAGACACAGGAGGTGGGTAAAGGTGTAGGGATGGTAAAAGTCTGAGTTCGCTCAGAGAATATTACTCAGTATTACTATATATATATATGTATATGTATATCCTTTCCCCACTGAGAATATTAGCAAACCCAGGAAGATGGGCTATGTTACATCAGGGACAAGAAGCTTACTTAGTAATCTCTTAGGTGAGGCTTTGAGGTCTACTACAGATGCCAGTCTACTAGCATACTCCCTGTTGCATTATAGTGCACTGCAGAAACTGAATAGATAATATTCAGAGGAAAGGTTATGGCCAAATTGTATTCTACGTAAGCTCAGGTTCCATAAACTAATTGAAAGAAAATATAGTTATGGCAGCATTTTTTAATCTGTCCTTTTCTTGGTCTCCCATTTTAATTCGTAGATTGCTCAGAAGTTGAGGGCTCTGGAAGTTAAACACAACAAAGTCCTATAACCCTAAACCAAAAACACCAAACCCACTGCTATTGAGTCGATCCCGAATCATAGCAACCCCATAGGATTTACAAGGCTGTAAATCTTTACAGAAGCAGACTTGCCACATCTTTGTCCTGCGGAGCCGCTGGTGGTTTCACACCACTGACCTTTTGGTTAGCAGTAGAGCACTTTAATTGAAATAGAACAGTTAAAGCTTTCTTCTGAAGGAAAGAACATTCTTGCCAACCACAGGGGCATGTTACCCTAAATGTGGATCAAGATACCTCAGAGGAATAGATGTGTTACTAACAAGTCATTTTAAAAATCAATTCTTGTGACTTAGACTGTTTAACCTTACTGAACATTTTTATCTATTATAAACAAAATATATATGCCATCACTTAACTCTTCATTTACCTATTTTGTAAGTTTGGGTTTTTCTATGTTGAGCTTTTTTTTTTAATTATTATTGGTGAAAATATACACGGAAAAACACACCAATTCAACAATTTCTACATGTATACTTCAGTGCCATTGATTATAGTCTTCAAATTGTGCGACCATGCTCACTGTCCCTTTCCAAATTATTCCACTCACTGCCCCCTAAGCTTCTCATATAACCTTTTAAATTGCTGTTGTCAACTTGATCACATATAGATAATTCTTTAAAAGAACACAATGCTCAAGACATACGTTCTTTACTAATTAAGCTAAACTATTGTTTGGTTTATGTTGGGCTTTTTAACACAGAGTATTAAGTATCTATATTTTTTTCTCTTTTTTTTTTTTTTTGTTTATTGTAGTTTAAGTGGAAGTTTACATTTCAAGTTAGTCTCTTATACAAAAATTTATACATACATTATGTGACCCTAACTGCTCTTCCTATCCTGTGACAGCACATTCCTTTCTACTCCTGATTTCCCATGTCCATTCAACCAGCTCCTCTCTCTGCCTTCCCATCTCACCTCCAGACAGAAGCTGCCCATTTAGTCTCTTGTATCTACTTGAGCTAAGAGGCACACTCCTCACGAGTATCACTTTATGTCCCACAGTCCAGTCTAATCCTGTCTGAAGAGTTGGCCTCAGAAATTGTTTTAGTTCTGGGCTGGTAGAGAATCCAGGGGCCATGCTTTCTGGGGTTACTCCAGTGTCAGACCATTAAGTCTGGTCTTTTTACTAGAATTTGAGTTATGCAGCCCACCTTTCTCCTGCTCCATCAGGGACTCTCTTTCTTGTTCCCTGTCAGGGTGGTCATTGGTGGTAGCTGGGCACCATCTAGTTCTTCTGGTCTCAGGCTGATGAAGTCTCGGTTTATATGGCCCTTCTATCTCTTGGGCTAATACTTTCCTTGTGTCTTTGGTGTTCTTCATTCTCCTTTACTCCAGGTGGTTGGGACCAATAGATGCATCATAGATGGCCGCTTGCAAACTTTTAAGACCCCAGACACCACTCACCAAAGTAGGATGCAGAACATTTTCTTAATAAACTTTGTTAGCCAGTTGACCTAGATGTCCCCTGAAAGCATATTCCCCAGACCCCACCCCTGCTACTCTGTCCCTCGAAGTGTTGATTATATTCAGGAAACTTCTTAACTTTGGTTCTTCCATTTGTGCTGACTTCCCCTGTAGTGAGTGCTATCCTTCCCTTCACCTAAGATAATTCTTGTCTACTATCTAGTTAGTGAGTAACCCTCACCCTCCCTCCTGCCCCTCGTAACCATCAAAGAATGTTTTGTTCTGTGTTTAAACCTTTTCTTGAGTTCTTATAATAGTGGTCTTATACAATATTTGTCCTTCTGTGACTGACTAAATTCACTCGGCATAATGCCCTCCAGATTCCTTCATGTTATGTTTCACAGCTTCATCGTTGTTCGTTGCGTAGTGTTCGATTGTATGGATATACCATAATTTGTTTATCCATTCATCCACTGATGGACGCCTAGGTTGTTTCCATCATTTTACTATTGTGAACAGTGCTGCAGTGAACATGGGTGTGCATATATCTATTCGTGTGATGGCTCTTATTTCTCTAGGATATATTCCAAGGAATGGGGTTGTTGAATCATATGGTACTTCTATTTCTAGCTTTTTAAGGAAGCGCGAAATCGATTTCCAAAGTGGTTGTACCATTTTGCATTCCCACCAGCAGTGTGTAAGTGTTCCAGTCTCTCCACAACCTCTCCAGCATTTATTATTTTGTGTCTTTTGGATTAATGGTAGCCTTGTTGGGGTGAGATGATCTCTCATTGTAGTTTTGATCTGCATTTCTCTAACGGCTAATGATCGTGAACATTTCTTCATGTGTCTGTTAGCCACCTGAATATCTTCTTTGGCGAAGTGCCTGTTTATACCCTTTGCCCATTTTTCAGTTGGGTTATTTGTCTTTTTGTTGTTGAGGTTTTGCAGTATCTTACAGATTTTAGAGATTAGATGCTGATCGGATTTATCGTAGTCAAAAATTTTTTCCCAGTCTGTAGGTTGTCTTTTAACTCTTTTGATGAAGCGTTTGATGAGCGTAAGTGTTTGATTTTTAGGAGCTCCCATTTATCTAGTCTCTTTTCTGATGCTTGTGCATTGTTACTTATGGTTCGTATTGTGTTTATGCCATGTATTAGGGCTCCTAGCATTGTCCCTATATTTTCTTCCATGATCTTTATCGTTTTCAATTTGATATTTAGGTCTTTGATCCATTTTGAGTTAGTTTTTGTGTATGGTGTGAGGTATGGGTCTTGTTTCAGTTTTTTGCAGATGGATATCTAGTTATGCCAGTACCATTTGTTAAAGAGACTGTCTTTTCCCCAATTAACAGACTTTGGGCCTTTGTCAAATATCAGCTGCTCATAGGTGGATGAATTTATATCTGGATTCTCTGTTCTGTTCCATTGGTCTGTGTATCTGTTGTTGTACCACTACCAGGTTGTTTTGACTACCGTGGCAGTATAATAGGTATAATAAGTATATTAGTAAAAGTTTTGTAGTTCTTGATTGCATTTTCTTCCTAAAGTACTCCATAGCATATTAATCAAACCTCAGTGGCTTTGGCCATTCTTAGGTTTGCACTGGTTCACAATAGGATCTGATACATTTAAGTACAAGTGCAAATGATAATTGTGCCTGTTATTTTGAAGAACTCAGGGTGGGTGGAGGCAGCAAAAGTTAATGTTTCTTTTAGAGAAAATGTCAAATGGCCTATAAACAGGTGAATCTGTACTTAAGGGAGGAGTAAGTTAACCCTGAAATCAGAGTTCTTAGTACTAGAAAACTGAGTTAACAGAGGGAATATTCCCTTTCCTGGTTATGTTATAGAATACAATTCCTGAGTTTAATAATACATTATTCCTTTTTAAATAGGTTATTTTATTTTAACCACCTAACCTTTCTTTTTTTCAATTGTGGTGAAAATATACATAACAAAACATACACCTTCAACAATTTCTACATGTACAATTTAGTAACATTGTAGATTACATTCTTCAAGTTGCCAAACCATTCTTACTATCCTCTTCAAAATCATTCCATCACCAGTAACATAAACTCAATGCCCCCTAAGCAAAAACTACCCCTTTCTCCCTCCCTCCCACTTCTGGTAACCACTAATAATCTTTGGTTTCTATATATGCTTATTTTACGTAAGTGAGATCATACAATATTTATCCTTTTGCAAGTGATTTATTTTCTTCAGCATGGTGTTTTCAAGATTCATCTATGTTGTGGCATGCGTCAGGACTTCATTTCCCTTTATGACTGAGTAGTATTCCATTGTGTGTATGTACCACGTTTTGTTTATCCATTCATCTGTTGATGGACATTTCATTTGTTTCCACCTTTCGACTGTTGTGAAAAGTGCTGCAATGAACATTGCTGTATAGGTTTCTGTTTGCGTTCTTGCCTTCAGTTGTTTTGGGTAGATACCTAGGAATGGAATTGCTGGATCATATGGTAGTTCTGTGTTCAACTTTTTGAGGAACTGCCCGTTTTCCATAGTGGGTGTACCATTTTATAGCCCCACCATCAATGGATGAGGATTCCAGTTTCTCCACAACCTCACCAACACGTATTGTTTTCCTTTTTTTTTTAAATCATTGTCATTCTAATAGGTGAGGTGGTATTTCATTGTAGTTTTTATTTGCATCTCCCTAATGGCTAATGGGAAATCCTAGTGGCGTAGTGGTTAAGAGTTCAGCTACCAATGAGAAGGTCGGCAGTTCGAATCCACCAGGCATTCCCTGGAAACCCTACGGGCCAGTTCTGCTCTGTCCTGTAGGGTCGCTGTGTGTCAGACTCAATGGCAATGAGTTTGTTGTTTTTTTCTTTTTTGAATGGCTAATGACATTGAACATCTTTTAATGTGCTTATTGGCCATTTGAATATTCTCTTTGGTTAAACATCTGTCGAAGTCCTCTGCCAATTTTTTTATTGGGTTGTCTGTTTGTTGTTAAGTTGTACAAGTTTTATATACGGTAAAACCTGCGGAAGCCAGAACCTGTGTAAAGTGGAAACCTATCAGAGAAGGAAAACTCAAATATTTTCCACTAAAACAGTAGAAAAGTGGTAAGACTGCACCTTGTCAAAGGCGAAAAACTTGTAAAACTCGGAAAAACATGGCAGTCCTGTTGCATTACAGTTCTCACAGGTTTCACTGTATATTTTAGGTATTAGACCTTTATTGGATATATGATTTGCAAAAATTTTCTTACAGTCTGTAGGTTATCTTTTCACTTCGTTGATAAAATCCTTTGATAAAGAAAAATATTTAATTTTTATGAGGTCTCAATATCTATTTTGTCTTTTGCTGCTCATGCTTTTGTTATCATACCTGATAATGCATCATTTAAAAACTAGGTCTCACAGTCTTTGCCCTACATTTTCTTCTAAGAATTGTATGGTTTTGGTTTTTCACATTTAGGTCCTTAATCCATTTTTTAATTGGTTTTTGTGTGTGGTGTGAGGCATGGATCATATTTCAATCTTCTGCTTGTAGAAACCCCATTTTTCCACCGCCATTTATTGAAGAGACTCTTCTTTCCCCATTGAATGGACTTAATACCCTTGTCAAAAATCAGTTGACTATAGATGTATCCTCCTAACCTAATCATTATTTTCAGCCAGTCAGAGGCAGAAATAGGAAATAATAGTTATCTTTTTTAGTTAAAGAGAAAAATACCGTTAAAAACACCTGGCATATAGTTGTTGTGTGCCATCGAGTTGATTCCAACTCACAGAACCCTATAGGACAGAATAGGACTGCCCCATAGGGTTTTATAGGCTGTAATCTTTATGGGAGCAGATCACCATATCTTTCTCCCATGGAGCGCTTAACCATTGCACTGCCAGGGCCCCTGTGGCATATAGTAAGCACTCAATAAATATTTGATGTAGAATGGATGAAGAAATATTTGTTTCTCTAACAAATGGATAAGCATTTCAATGAATGAATGTTTTGGGATTATTTCTCCTCTCATCTCTCACCTTTGTTAATTTAAATCCTAAACCAAATATCTTTATAGTAACAAATGGATTAATTTTAAACTTAATTCATGTTTTGCCCCCAGGGAGACTAGCTTACAAAATTTTCCTCATATTGAGGTGGTTCGGAAAAAAGAAGAGAGAAGAAAATTGCTTGGACACACATGTAAGGAATGTGAAATTGTAAGTACTGATGTAAATGCTGTCCAGTTCTTTTAATTATGGCTTTATAGATCATAAATGCATGATTTAAGAAGTCACAGATACAGATCATACTGTATCTAGAAACCTAGCTCGAGCCAGGAATAATAGGAGGAATAAATAACCAGTGTATACAGACTGTGACCTGGGAGAGATATAAACAGATGAAAGTTCTCAATTTCTCTTAAATTTTCGTTAAGTGAATCTGGAGCCTAAGGTCTAGTTCTTCTTACCAGATTAAGACATTTATGCCACTTTTCTTTTTTCTCTGTTTACTTACGTTTGTTTAATTTTCCCTTTCATGGCAGATGCTCTTATATATATAGTATTTGGAGAAAATTTTGATATTTCAGTAGTAAACTTTGACATTTATTACTTATACAAGCAGTCTTGGGAAATGAGGCATACTCATAATTGTTTTGTTTTGTTTTTCTAAATAACCAGTACCACCATAAACTCTGGTTTTTTCCCATTTTTCTTCCTAAACAAAATGTGATGAATAGGTTCTAGTTCACCCATAGACACAATTATATTTTCCTTTAATACTAATGGCTGCCTTGGACTATTGAAGTAGATAGTACTAATTACCCTGTTAAATAGGTCCAGGCAGGTTCTGTGTTTTCTTGAAACATGCTGTTCTTATTCCTTCCATTGCTACCCATTAGCTATCAGATGAGTGCCTCCAGCAATTTACTTCCCCTTTTAAATTTCCTATTTAACAATGGGTTGGAAAATTTGATAACCAAGCACATTAAAGTTATGTGTGAAAATGTGATTAGATCAATGCAATAAGCATTTGGTAAGAAATATGCTGTTATATACTCAGAATGGTATGACTCATTTGGAAAGCAGTTTGATAAACAAGCAAAACTTCTATATCATGAATTTTCCTAGCACAAATCAAATTTATCATGATTTTTTAACTGAGAAACATGGAGTAAGTCTCCAGGTATTAGTAATAACCATCACTCTTTACAGTCTGGAACTAGTAACTGCCAGTTAGGAAAAAGCTCTTGTGCTAGAAACACTGCTGATTTGCATCTGTCAGGAATCTTTTCATGCACTATCTGTTGTTCAATCTCTGAAAACCATTGTTTCATACATTTTTTTCAATTTTTTTAGTGGTTTAAGTTAGGAAAGTAAACCTGTTCCCTGTTACTCCATCATGACCAGAAGTGAAAGTATCACTCCCATATATTTTAATACCATTCACATACTTACAGTTTCTAAAGTTATCCCATTGTCTGTTCCACTTACCTTCTTGGATGTGTAATCATCACCTCAAATTTCACATGTTCAAAAGCAAACGTTTCTGCCTCCAATTTCCAAACCTCACCTCTGAGTCTTCCATATGTCACTAATGGCATTTCCACTCTTTAGTTGTTTAAACCAAAGATCTTTTAGTTATCCTCTATTCTTTTCTTTCACATCCCATAATCAGTCTGTCAGCAAATCCCATTGGTTGTGCTTTCAGAACATATCCCATTTCCAACCACTTACTATTCCACCACTAACCCCCTGGACCAAGGCACCATTTTATCTTGTCTGGGCTGTTGAAATAGTTTCTGACTGCTCACCTTGTCTTTTCAGTCTTGTCTCTTTAAGTGTACTTAACATAGCAATGAATGAACTTTTTTTTTTAATCATCTTTTTAAAATAAAGTTAAATCATGTCATTCCTCCACCTGGAACTCTTCAGTGTCTTCCCATTCAAAGTCTTCATTAGAAACAACAAACCATGGCACCTCGCTTTCTCTCTGACTTCATATTCTACCGCTGTCCCACTTGCTGGCTGTGTTGCAGCTGCAGTAGCCTACTGTTGTTTTTTGAATATGTTTTAATTTGGTAACATTGTTTTTTTCCAATAAAGCATGGTTCTGTAAGGCCCTATCCCAAAGCCCAGGGTAAGGTAACAAAGACTCGTATGCATGGCAGTGGCGGTGAGAAAGATACCCCTCCCCCACAAGAAAAGGTGTTTCAGAGATACTATAAAGCCGATGGTTAATCTATATAAAAGAAAAATATATTAAAAATTTTGCTTCAACCTTCAGTTCTAGTCCTAAATCTGTCTTTCAATTTGTAATATCCTATGTGAATTATCACTTCTTTGATTTTCAGTTTCTCAAATGTACAATGAAGGAATTTGCTGGATTATATGATCCTAACATCCATGTTCTATTATGTAAACATTAAACTACTGTTTTGTTTTCTTTAGGTCTAGAACTTAAAGACCTGTACAGTTTTTACATGAAATTTCTATCATTGTTTGCATGAAGTTCAAGTTCTTTATGATCACAGTTGCAAAAAATAGTATGCATTTGATCCTAATTGAAAAATACAGCTTAAAGAGGGAAGTCATGAAGCCTGCAACATTCGAATTGAAAATTTATTTTAAAAAGTGTAAAGTTATGAAAATTACTTGGAAACACACATGTTATAGCCAAATAATAATTGAGAGTAGTGCTATGCAAAGTGCAGGTCTCTGGATTTTTGTGTTTGGTCTGACAGAGATGAGGAGTTTGTGCTAATATATAAATTAGCTGCATCACCAAATCACGCTGTAAAGTTCAGTTGGCTTTTTTTTTTCATTGCCAAGAGTTTATTAATGAAGGAAGTGGTATGTTGATTTACATTGTGATACAAGCTCGTTTTCTCATCTGTGAAACAAACATTTCACAGACCAGCACCAGCACTGATTAATGTCAGTAAGTAATTAATACTATGTGTAAGTATTAATTACTAGTATTATCAAAAGGAGCTCTGGTGTCTCAGTAGTTAAAGCACTTGGCTGCTAACCAGAAGGTTGGCAATTGAACCCACTAGCCGCTCCATGGGAGAAAGATGTAGCAGTCTGCTTCCGTAAAGATAAGAGCCTTGGAAACCCTATGGAGTGGTTCTGCTGTGTCCTATAGGATTGCTATGAGTCAGAATCGACTTGATGGCAGTGGGTTTTTTGCATTGTCATGAATGAGTATTGTTTCCTTAGAATGTTGAATACTTTAATAAATGCCTTCCTTAGCTTCTAGTTAATAATCAGTAAGCATAAGTGAAAAAACTTACCAGTTTTTATTATTAGTATTATGCAGATATTCCAGCAGAAGAAAGAGAAAAGAAGTTGGCTTCCTGCTCACGACACCGATTCCGCTACATTCCCCCCAACACACCAGAGAATTTTTGGGAAGTTGGTTTTCCTTCTACTCAGACTTGTATGGAGAGAGGTGAGAACATAGATATTTGGGAATTTATATATATTTTTAAATACCATTTATACCCAAGCCTAACATTAGACTTTTTCTCCATGGTTCTCTTTACCTTCTGCTGCAAATTGAGTGGTAGTTTTGTGACATAAACACAAGTTCTTAGAGATAAAAGGCTTACCTTCAGCTCTTCAAGTAATTTAATTGGGATCAGAGATCATTTATAATCACTTTAATGTGATTATGTGTATATTCTGGTTTATTGTTCAATTTCTCTTTCATTTTAATAAAATAAATTATAGAAATTACCAGCACAATTATATTGTTAAAAAGAGAACATCTTTTTAAAGATATTACCCTGAATTTTGGATTTGAAAACCTCATTTGTCAAGAATGTTGGATGTTTATGAACCATATTTGGGTAAAAAGGACCTTGTTTGTTTGAAGATTGCTGACACACAGCTCCTTCAAATCTGGCACTTATATTTAATATAATTTGAGAAAGTATGCAGCTTTAAAGCTGTTTTAAAAGAGTCACAAGTTGTGATTTTTGTTCTCACTATCTTATCAGTGTTATCACTCACCAGCAGGCATATTGCTAAAAAATGTGTGTACATGCTTCCCTGGTTTTGTATGACTTTTCTCCCAAAGCTGTGTGTAGTCTTCTGATGTCCTCATGTTGCAGCATACTTCCCTTTCTGTGCTCAGGCTAACTCTACCAATCTGGACTTACCCAGCATTTGGGCAGTATAATCAGTCGAAGCCATTAGGTCTGAACTTTATTGCAACCATTGGTTTAAATGAAATGTTCTAGAATCCTTAGCCTTTAAGAGCTATTCAGTTAAGTACCATCTGTCTCACAAACCCTTTTTTATGAAAATATCATTCCAAGGGAGCTTGCAGAAGCACGTAATAGCTAATCTTTATGAAGGGACCTCTTTTAGTTCAAGATTTTACTTCCTACATTACTGTATTTATAGAGTTGGGGTTTTTTTTGTTTGTTTGTTTTTGTTTTTGGCATATTTAGTTTAAAACTCATTTGTTATTAAAGGAATGTTGCCACAGATACTTTTTTTAATTAGAGAATGCACTCATGTTTTATGAAGAATTTTATTTCAAAATCATCATAAAAATAAGGAATAAATATTCACAGAAATATGTACAGTATATTGTATGCCAGCTATACTTCAATAATACCTGTTGGATAAAAATAAACAAAGGAGGGAGGATATTAGCTAAGCAGAGACTTGTTCTGAACTCTTTAGTATTTTTTGCTATTTTCTCCATGGTCTGCAGAGCACTCGATTATAGGCTATGTCTTGTGGTTTAAATAATGAGTTTTATGAAAATGTGATGTGTCTTCTGAGATGTGACTGGAAAATACAGTAATGTTCAGAATATTTATAATTTGAATTTTAGGTTTATGACAGGTTTAGTTTTCAAGTCTGTGTTTGTAGTTAGAGATAAACATAATAAAATCTTTATGTACAAGAAGGTAGGTTGTTGTTAGTTGCCATCGATTCTGACTCATTGGCAACCCTATGTGTGCAGAGTACAACTACTCCATAGGGTTTTCAAGGCTGTGGCCTTTTGGAAGCAGATCGCCAGGCCTGTCTTTCAAGGTGCCTGTGGGTTGGTTCAAATCTCCAACCTTTGGGCTAGTAGTTGAGGGCTACCCAGGGACTCCATACAAGAAAGTATAGTAACATTGAGTAAATTTCAAATGATAAAGAATACCACCTAGAATTTCAGTTCAGCCTTGCCATCTATAGGGACTATTCTCAAGTTAGGGTCCTGATGGTTCAGCTAAATGACTAACATTGGGGGGAAAGCTCCCCTACTTTTGGAGAAATTCCAGATATTTAGTTATAAGATAGTGTCTCCAAAAAATGCAAAGTCTCTGGTAACTGTTGTCAGATTTCCACTTTCCACACTAACAAGCTAGATTAAGTCTTGACATGATGTCTCTGCCTGGTCACCAAATAGAATCAGCCAATCTAGATGGAGCCTGTGTTAGCTATGGCCTAGGGGTATGGCAGAGCACAGTCCTCTCCTGCAGATTACGTGATTGGAGACACCCTGGGAAATAGCTACCATGAAAAGTCTTTTTGATATGCACCTGGAATTTATCATAAAGGTAAAGAGTTCCTCTTTAGCAGTTTGTCCCTTGTGCATACTATGGGAAGCAGAACAAGAAAGTGCTGAAGAGCTCTGGTTCTGGTATTAGATACTGGGCAGAGTCCCAGCTCATCCACTTCCTAGCCTTATGACCTTGAGTAAATCATTTAATTTCCCTGGGCGCAGTGGGAATTACTTCAAAGGAATCTGAGAGTTATCTGAGATAATGTGTGTAAAAAGCAAGTGAGAAATGTGTATGCTGCTGTTATCGTTATAAATGAGGAGACTGATGTGAAGTAGTGAAGTCATTTGTCAGCATCACACAGTCATGATCAGAAGACTCATGTAAACTTCGGAGGCATTAAATAAGACAAATGTTTACTAGATATATGCAGAAGGAAATGTATGTCATAAATACAGTCTTCTAAATTTGTAATTTTTTATTTTAAGGTTACATTAAGGAAGATCTTGATCCCCGTCCTCGTCCAAAAAGACGGCAGCCTTACAATGCAATGTTTTCTCCAAAAGGCAAGGAGCAGAAGACATAGATGTTGAAGCAAAAACAGGATAGAGGACAATTTTTTCATTTTTAGTTATTTATAGTTAAAGTTGGTATTAAACACTGATTTTTTTCTTTTTTAGTCTTCCGTGAACTGATTTATAAATCAATTTTCTATTGAAAATGTTTTTAAATGGCATTTACCCACCACAGAAGCAAGTATTTAAAATGTGGATGAGTTTATGTTGTGTTTTCTTGCTTTTGCACCTTTAAAACAGTAAGGTGCTTTCATTTTTGCACTCTAACTTAAGAGGTGTTTATTTACTTTATTTGGTAATTCCCAATTACAGTTTTGAAAATACAGTTTTTGTCTGATTTGTTGCCTTCCGATCTTTTCTTTCCGTCTTGCCTTTATACTCACATTTAGCAGCAACTTCATAGTAATCATTACAGATCTTCATTCTCTTCATCAGTTGCTCTTCTATAGGTCATACCAATGTCTGGCATTTAGATCTAAAAAAGGCTAAATTTGAATAGTCCAGCTGCTTTTTTTGTTAAATTGAAATGAGAGACTCTACTCTGTAGTAAATTCCTTCTGGGGTGATCATGAATATCAACCTTTTTTTCTTTGCTGTGTAATACAAATTAATTTAATTCTCTGATCTGATCATAATATTTACATGCTTTCATCATACTTTTTTCCTCGTCCACTTTTCAAGCTAAATTTGTTGCGTTCTCTGCCCACTGTGTTTAATTATATTCTTTCTCTTGCTTGACTGATGTTAAGAACTTCCAAGTTGGCATCAAAATAGATTTCTCTATATAGCAACTTTCTATCCCTCAAGGGTCTAGTGTCTGAGTCATTAAGATGACTGAGCACACGTATGTCATCATTTCTAGTGGCATTAATCAACATCTGTGTGTTCCTTTAATTCATACCTTGACAGTATTATTACATAAATGGGAGCACATGAGACTCTGAATGAACTGCCTCACTAAAATCTAAATAACCTTATGTTGTTAGGTGCCATCAGTCGGCTCCCAACTCAAAGCGACCCTGTGTGCAACAGAACAAAACACTGCCTACTCCCGTACCATCCTCACAGTTGTTGCTGTGTTTGAGCCCATTGTTGCAACCACTGTGTCAGTCCATCTCATTGAGGGTCTTCCTTTTTTTTGCGGACCCTCTACCGAGCATGATGTCCTTATACAGTATTTTTACGCAAGTAACACGTCTTCTACGTTTGTTTGCCAACTGTGCCTCCCCCAAGGTATCTTTATAGGCACCACTGTGCCAATTTGTGTTACCACGTTGCTGTAAAAAAAAAAAAACATTAGCATAGCGTGTTATAAAAATACCTTGTGGTGGGGAGGGTGCAGTTGGCAAACATAGAAAGCGCATGTTATTTGCATAAAAATATGATAATCTTTTCTTAGAATTTCTAAAATCTCTTTGCTTACAGTCTAGTCTTCCTCATTGATCATGGTTCCCATGAGAATAAATGGTATCAGTTTGTGTTCTCTTCCTATAGGAAAGGGAAAGAAATTACATTTATGAGTGTCTACTGTATGACAGGCACTTATGTACATCATTTGGTTCTGGGTGTTACTGTGAATTTCTTACAACTGTATCATAGCTTCTATTCAGCATTTTTCCTCCCTTCCAAATTGTTTGACCTGTGTTTGATTTTCGTTCTCTGCTGGCAGTCAACTAATCTCCCAAGAATAATAGCAATTATTGGTCACTTACTATATGCCAGGAACTGAGTTATGTTCTTCACATAGACTTTTCTTTCTTAATCCTCAGATAATCTTGTGTATTCTTGTATTACTTACTGATTAGGTTAAGTTACAAAAAATGGGTCCAGAAAACAACAGGGTAAACAACTGATGACGGGTTTTATTTTTCTCACTCTAAAAATTTTTAGTCTGGAGGTCAGCAGTCCAAGGCGGTAATCAGCTCCATGATGCCATCAGGGACCCATCATGTCCATGTTCTTGGCAAGAAGAAGGGAAGAGAAAGAAGTATATGCCATTTATTTGTTTTCCAGAAAGCCACTCCCCTCATTTCTAAATGGCCAGAATTGTCACATGGCTACCTCTAATAACTAGTAGAGATGAGATTGGAGCCCAGGATTGCCTAAGTCCAGAATCAGAACTCTTACCCACTACAGGATAAACCAAGAACCCACTGCCATTGAGTCGATTACAACTTACAGTAACCGTATAGGACAGAGTAGAACTGCCCCATAGGGTTTTTTACAGAATCTTTACAGAAGCAGGCTGCCGCATCTTTCTCCCAAGGAGCGGCTTGTGGGCTCCAACTGCCACCCTTTTGGTTAACAGCTGAGCACTTTAACCACTGCACCACCAGGGCTCCTCCACTACAGGATAGTACTTGTAAAGACCAGGAGTCTGAGAGACCATCTGGATTTGAACAGGACACCACAGGATGTGCAGTTAGAACTCTACACCTCCAGTGGGTTTTGCTTTTTAAATGAAGGCCGAAGCAGAGACAGGAAGTTAGAGATTGTCTCCCTGATAGCATCGTGGCAGCTATCCAACCCATTTGTAACTAGCATTTTTTCATTTTACCCTCAGTCACCCTGTGAGGTTGGGTGAACTAAGGTTTCCCTTTTTATCTGCTATTGACCAGCTATACCATTAAATGGAGTAATAAAATAGACACTTTAAAAAACATACTTGCATTAGAAAGATGAGTTTAAATTCAAAACTGCACTTCATAATGCTTAGTGCACAAGCTTTCCTTTAAAAAAGGTAATGTATATAAATAATCATTTGTATAAATTTACATAAGGAGCCCTGGTGGCACAGTCATTAAGCACTTAGCTGTTAACCAAAAAGTTGATAACCAAAAGATTACAGCCTTGGAAACCCTGTGGGGCAGTTCCACTCTGTCCTACAGGGTCGCTGTGAGTTGGCATCGACTCAGTGGCAACAGATTCGGGTTTTTTTCTCTTTTTGGTTTATATTTTGTAAAGCATTATACATGTTAGATAATACTTTCATACAAATATATGTCAGTCACTGGTTATATATACTTTTAAAAGTCTGCAAGGTTTTTAAAGTTGAGATCCTCTGATTTGAACTTTGGAAATATGCAAATCCTGTACATCAGCACTTAACATTTTATTAACACCTTTCCTGCCTTTGATAAACCATCTGAAACCTAAGGTTGTCAAAGGCAACAAATTAAATGAGTTAATCATGGATACCCAAATGTATGTAGAAGGCATACTATGTTACCTTGAGAGAAAAGCCAGATGAAATAGAAGATATGTCCTAATCCCTTTCATGTAGTGAAAAATGTTCCCCAAGTCAAACTGGAATGGCAGCTGTTGTTAGGTTCAAACGTTACTAGTTCAAACGTAACAGTTTCAACTGCATCTAGCACATGTATTTAAAAACTCATAGAGGGCATTCTTAGGCCCTCTGAAAATATACAAGAAATCTGAAAGACTGCAAATATTCTCCCAAGACTGTCTTTAATTCATAATTCAATTACAAAAAGGAATAGTGTTCCATAAAGCAAATAACACTAATTCATTTATTTAACAAATATTTATCAAGCACTTTACCAGGCACAATACTAGCTACAGTGTCAGGATCATGTAAAATTTGACAGGTTTTCTCCAAATAAGCAAGCTTTTAAACATACACCTAAGAATTATCTGTTATCCTTTACATCTTAAGTTCCTTTGGTGGCGTAGTGGTTAAGTGCTATGGCTGCTAACCAAAAGGTCAGCAGTTTGAATCCACCAGGTGCTCCTTGGAAACTCTGTGGGGCAGTTCTCCTCTGTCCTGTAGGGTCGCCATAAGTTGGAATTGACTCAAAGGCAATGGTTTTTTTTGCGTCTTAGCAAACATTAATTTTGGAAAATGCTCTTCAGAAGTAAGCATTTGAAATACATCTAATATTTTGCTGTCCACTGTCTATTCTCAAGAAGCCCAGCAGTTTAAGAGACATCTCAAAGTCTTTTCTCTTTGCTAAGTTAATGCGATTAGAATGGTTCCTTAGAAAACAAGCATCCTTACGCTTGGGTCCTTTAGCATTCACTTAAGCCAAGAATTATGAAACAGTTGTCTGCTATCACACCAGCAGAGGCCAGAAGAGAGCTATTTTTGTAGAAATAATCAGTGGACACTAGGGGCTGAGTAGGACAATCAAAGGAAATTTTCTAGATAAATAGGAGCTGAACCTTTGGTACAGTAATGAAAGCTCATTGGGCAAAAAGGGCTTTCAATGTAGCTGTTGTTGGAATAAAACAAATGGCAGAGACAAGAATTTATGGCCTTGAGATAAAAATAAACATGTACCTACCATATACTGGGCATTTAGGGATACAAAGAGATACGTGAGATCCTTTTATTACCCAGTGGGAGACCATAAAAAGATGCCTAAGAGGTCAATGAAGCTTAGGCTGAATACCAAAGAAGCACTAAGAATAATTAGAATGTGAAATGTGTCTTGAGGATGAGTTGGACCTAGAGAAGCAGAGAGGAGGAGACAGTGCAATCTAGATGGGAGCTAATCTGAATGTGCAAAGGCTAGAATATTAAGAATCAGAAGGAGCCCTAGAGGTCATATGGTTTCAGTCTCTCTGTGGCTTTCAAACCATTTGTAGCAGATACCTTAAATCTTAAACAGACCCTCAATAAACAAATAGTGATATTTTGGTGGCAAGCATTCAAGTTTATCACCTTTACTTATAAATCTCATCAGTAAGGCTAGATAAATACAAAACAGTGAAATAAGTTATGAATGGCAGGTAATTTTTACATCAGCTTCAGTATCCAAATATTTGCTGCATCGCAGACCAATTCAGTCAGAATATCTCGGGGTGAAGCCAAGGCATCGGTGTTTTTGATAGCTTGCTAGGTGATTCTAGTGTGTAGCCATGATTGAGAGCCATTGCCCTAAATCATTGTTACAAGCTAGGGCAAGGGTGGTCAAACTTTACATTAAGAGTCACCTGTAAGTCTTGTTAAAACACAGATTACTGGGTTCCACCCCAGGGTTTCTGACTCAGTGGATCTGAGGTGAGGCCCAAAAATTTACATTTCTAACATCTCAGTCCTCAGTGATGTTAATGCTGTTGGTACAAGGACTAGAAATACCTAATCATAAAATTTCCGCAGAAGCTTGGTACACAGAGATTCCCAGACTACTCCCCTGGAGATTTTGATTCACTGTGTTGAGGACACCTGAACATTTAGATTTTTAACAAGTTCCCCAGATCATTGTTACAGGCAAATATAAGAAATGCTGCTTAAGACAACCAAAAACCAAAACCCGTTACCATTGAGTTAACTCCGACTCATAGCAACCCTAAAGGACACGGTAGAACTGCCCCCATCGGGTTTCCAGGCTGCAAATCTTTACAGAAGCAGACTGCCACATCTTTCTCCCGTGGAGCCTGGTGGATTCTAACTGCCCACCTTTCAGTTAGCTGCTGAGCACTTAACCAGTATGCTGCTAGGACTCCCTTTAAGACAACCAGGAAAGCTAAATAGCAAAATGTTAACCTTCGAGCATTCTCTGAAAAT